CCAGCTAGGTGCTACTTTATAGGATGTGTAAAGTTAGATTTGTGTTCATGGAAATGTATATATCACCTGTGTTTGCTATGAAAATATTTAGATTAATTAAGGTCTTTAATTAATTAAGGTCTTTAATTAAATGTGGGGGGAAAACAGTATAGAAAGCAAACATAGATACCAGAGACAGTGTGGGAGGAGAGTGTGAGATGGCAGAGGGTAAAAGATAGGGAATCAAGGATAGGGGGAAAAAAAAGCAAAACATACAGAAAACAAGAAATGGAAGATTATTTGCTGACAATAACATGTTTGTTGATCTGCTTGATTGAGACAATATACAGTGTACTCTGGATGGAAAATCTTATTTTGTATGCTGTAATGATGTACAGTGAATGAATGCAAATAAATAAATTGAAATAAAAAATGATAGTTATTTAAATTGCTTTTTTTGTTGTCATTTGCTATAGAGTGCATATTCATTGGAGAGAGTGAGAGAAATCACCTCTTGGCAAGGATGGGCATGTCATAATGCTTTCTCCTTCATTCTCTTGAGGTTTTGGCATGCATGCACATATGCCTGGCATGTTTTTTTCAGCTGCTGGTTCTGGGACTTGAACCATGCAGTTAGCCATGTGGAATCCATCTGTCTTAACCAGAGTGCCATTGACTGGCCTTAAATTACCTCTTTTATCTTACAGACTCAGATTTTGAGTTCCTCTATAAAATGAAGCAATTACATGGTGGGTTCAATTGTTTTCCTTCCTCTCTAGAACGGTTGAAATTTAATTGTGCTGTCATCAACATTATAGCGCAGTTCACCCATTTATTTCTGGGAAATGTTCCTCTGTATTTCTGAAAGCTAAGCACTTCGGTTGTTATATTCTCGTTGCACTCATTATTGCCAAGACTTGGTTCCTTGGTTCAGGCAGCAGTTTGCTAGTAATTCAGAGCATCAGCTTCAGCCTGGTTCAGGGCATCTGAGAACACAGTCCCAGTGCCTCTGAGATTTGTGCCATGTCTCCCAAGTTGCAGGGGATTGTCCCAGCACTATGGCTCCTTGGGGTCCTCTCTCCACTGTGGTGCCCACCTGTCCTGTGTGGTGAGTACAGAGGTGGTGAGAAAGAGGGGATAGATTCAGACATAGGGAAGAAGTCCTGTTTAAGAATTACTTAGGTGTATTTCAATGGCAATGACTGAGTAACAATTTTAGAGAGGCACAATGAAGTATATTATTAAGAAATATATTTAAACGGTTTCAATAATTTTAACAGAGGTCATTTTTATTTGGAAAGCAACATATTACAAATCTTTGAAGAGTAATCTAGCAAAGAGAACTTTTAATTTTTATGTCCATGTATTATATTCAGATGAATGCCCCAAAATACATAAAAATTAATATTTATACGATTATTTTTTGTTTTCAAGTAGAAAATGTTAGTGATCCAGAAAGCGAAACTTTATTTTGTTATAAATAATGTGTGAATTTACTAAGGTAAAGTTAGAAAGCACTGTGTAAGCTGCAAACATTGTATAAGTGTTAGATATTGGTTTGTAATTTAGGGATTAATTAACTCTAATGAACTGCAAGTCCCACTAGAGTAGTGCTGACTAGAAATTATGTGAATAATTGTTTTTATTCATAAATGGAAATATGCTAATCAAAGTAATATTTATTTTTTCCTGATATAATTTAATTTTTAAGAGAAAAACTTTCTAAGAATATTTTTGAAAATACTGACATACATATGCCTCAAACTATCTATCAGATCATTTTGTACAGAATTTCAAAATCACTCAACAGAAAATATTTCACCAATAGCTATGTTGCTTTCTATGGAGACTATATTTTACATTCATGTGGATATTTCTCCAATTTTGATAATATAAAGATTACATGCCAATAAAATGAGTGTGGAGTCCCAAAATGCCACTTGACATTCTAGTAAGAGCTTTGGGAAAAATTTTTTAAATTAATTTCTAGTTTTAAGGTTGATCCAATGTTATTCAGACTTTGAATTTTCTTAATAGCGCAGGGTGAGTTCAGAGATATTTTTTTCCCCCCCCTTTTTTTTTTTTGCCAGGAGGCATATATGCTTGAGAGAGCGAGTGAGCGAGCAAGAACAACAACCCTCAATGGGGCATGGTCATATCACAATATTTTCTCCTCCTCTCTGGTGGATTTTAGGCATGCACATACATGTGTCTGGCGTGCTTTTCAAGATGTCACCCAGTACAGGATTTGAGCCAGCAGTCAGCCATGCAGAATCCAGCTTCTCTTAACAACCAGGCCACAGGACTGGCTGCAGAATTGCTTTTCTAAGGAGGGTATTAAGGTGTTTCACTTTGGAAGGTTTTGCTTTTTTCTTTTTTCATCAAAATGATGGGTATTTTAAAGGGAGTTTTGAGATTAGACACAAGAATTCCTTTATCTATGGTAATTCTTCTGTCTTGGAAATTGAAGTGGCTAAATCTGAGTCTTCCCAATCCCTACTTGACTCCAGCAACCTCATTGTCTTCCCACCTGTAAGACAATATCCAACAGGTCACAGTGTTGTCCTGAGACCTGTAGGCTTCTCTCTTTTCTTCCTCCAGTAACAACTTTGTGCTTCCTCTAAACCTCTGCTCAAACCACTGTCCAAATGAAATGCCTGCCCACATCTCACCCATTTAAGCAGCTTTTATCTAAACCTCAAGCTGGACTTCCAGTCTCCTCTAAGAACTATTATCTTAGCCCTCTTTCCCTTAATTCTCTCTCTTCTCTTACCTTCTTATACCTTCCTTGCTGGCTTCCTTCGTTTGGGGACATTATGGTGAACGAACTGGTTTTGTAGTTTTGCTATTGATGTGGCTGTGACTTATTTTCCTTAGTGTTCCAAGGGTGAGCCTTAATGCTGAACGGCCTTATGGGAATGAATTCACATTGATATTCTAGATTAATTCATAAAAAATGTGTTTATTTTTGTTTTCCTAATGAAGTGTTTGACATGAGGTTTAGGAAATTCTCTCTCTGAACCTTAGACCTATATAGGTAAACATTAATTTTGGACCTAAAGTGTCAAGAACAAAGAGACGAAGGTACTTGAGACATAGTTCTCAAAACAGAAAAGCAGTATCAATACAATAGTAGAAGTGAGCTGGTAAATAGTAGTACAGCATAGGCCTAAGTCTTAGAGAGTATGGAGTTTTGACCAAAGTAGACCTCAGTTCTGTCTTGGCCACTCAATAGCTGCCAAAAAAAAAAAAAAAAAAAAGAAAAGAGTAAAATAACCTTACCTCTTCAAGGACATGTTTGCTTCTGTGAAAGGTCAGGAAGACGATAATGGATATATCTCTTAGGGTTATTGTTCTGAGTGGGTAATGTATATAAAGTGTCTAGATTATAACTACATTGTGTTTATGACATATGTTGTATCATAGTTTATAAACTCTAAATACTACACATATGCACATGTCAAACATAGGGTTATGGAATACATAGTATGGATACTACATATTTATATATGCAAATAGTATACATACTCTACATTTGTATATATTACATATAGTTCATGGTGTATGAAGTGTGTACATTATAGTAAGGCATGTGATAGTCACGTATGATACATAATCCTTCCGAAGAACTCCTGTAGGAGCTCAGAGAAAGATACGCTATTTTCTGGGGACGTAAGAAAAACCAGCACAGAACAAATGCAATCTGCACAGCAAACCGAGGATGCGAGAGGCATTCTGGGTAGGAGAGATGCTATGAGAGCAGGGGCAGACAGAAATGTGTATTACATATTTGGGCACCAATGGCTAGATGGTTTAATTAGCCTGTAAGAGGACAGATAATAAGAAAACAGTAATAGATAAAGTCCAATCCATGAGAAAGGCCAGGAGGAGGTTTTCACAATAGTATGGGTTCATAAATGTTGCTGAACTTTTATTACTGATAAATATACAATTCAGATACAATCATTCCTTGGCCAGCTTTAAAGAGAAATCTTTTTTTTTTTTTTTTTTACCGTAGGGTGTGTATGCTCACCAGAGCAACAGAGAGATACAGAGGGACAGGTAGTGAGAAATCACCCCCTGGGAGGATGGCCATGCCACAATCCCTTCTTCTCTTGGGATCTAGGGTACTCATGCACATGTACCCAGCATGAGTTTTAAGTCACCAGGTCTGGGACTCGAATCACAGTCAACTACATGGAGTCTAGTGATGTAAGCATTACACCATCTGCTAGTCCCCTTAAAAAGGAATCTTACATTAGCAGAGTACTTTGACATTCCTACACACCATGTGCATTCTGGGATATGCCATTTTACACATTCTGCAGCCTCACGCGCTCTCACTTTTCTGTCTCACCATCAAGATTGTAAGTTTCCTCCTACCATTGCCCATGGACATCATCGAGACGTAACTAGATCCATATTCAGCACAAAGGAGTATGCATATGAATGTGATGAAGGATACACTCTGGTTGGAGAATCAAGAATCTCCTGCAGCTCTTCAGTCTGGTCTGCTCTGGCCCCTGAATGTAAAGGTAACTCCCGCTCCCCTTTCAGCTCAGGCAACAGTCATGAGAGGACTGAGAGCCAAGTTTCTTCTCTGCCAGAGGCAGCACAATGATTTAGTTTGATTAATTTAATTTGTGTGATGATACTCAATGCTAAAATTACAAAGGGCATATAAGAACATTAATCTCCTCTACCTCTTTCTCCCAGTAACAAAATTCAGCCTTCTTTTTTTTCTTTAAATTGCCAGAGGGTGTATGAGAGAGAGAGGGAGAAAAGCACCTTCCCATGGGGGTGGTCATACCACAATCTCCTCTCCTTTATTTCTCCCTCCTGTCTGGATTTTGGGCATGCCAAGGACCCAAAATATATTTCAAGCCACTAAGGCTGGGATTTGAACTGTGGTCAGCTATGTGGGATTGGACTCGCTCAGACATAAGTCCTAAAATTCAGCCTACTTGAGGCAGCTCTTATTCCTACTTTCTTGTAGATTTTTTTATTTCCAGAAATATTCCAGAGGCATCTTATTTTCTATGAGCGTTACCTGTCAGCCTTTGACAAAATATCCATGGAAACTTAACTCTAAAGTGAATGTAGGGTCTCATAAGATTAATCCAGATGTCATGAAGTGACAGGTGTTTCCATCAGGGCCTTTTGCAGTCCCCCCCACCACCCCCCCCACTGCAATGCAGGTGTGAGTCCATGAGGAGGATCTCCTATTTCGCCAACCTGTGGTGGGAACATGAGGAGTCAAGATCAAACCTGAGCTTTCCATGTATACAGCTTTAATATCATGTCACTAACAATTATCTCAGGATGTACTGACCACCACTGCTTCTATGACATGCAGGAGAATATTAGGCAACAGGGAAATTTTTATAGCTAGACTTTTCAGAGATCAAGATTGTGAGGGATAGTTGCCTTCATAGCAGAGAGTCTGGGTCACATTTATTTATTTATATCATCACTTTATTTAAAACTTTATGACCTTGGGCAACTTTCCTAACCTCTCTGCATCTCAGGTTTCTCCTAGATAAAATGGAATAAGAAAAGTCTTCACTTCCTAGGGTTATGGTGAGACTTAAGCGAGACAGTCAAATCAAAGGGGTTCTCTTGTCTGATAAATATTCTCACACAACAAAAAAAACGTTACCTACTATTACTGTTACCAGAATGGGGAAAAAAAAAAAGGATAGATGCATTAGAAATGCCTAAATATTACACATTCTTATTTTCTTAGACTGTTATCATGCCTTTTTTCTTAAATCAAAAGATTGCTTGAAGATATGCTTCCTTTGTAGCTGTATGTCCAAAACCAGAGATAGAAAATGGAAAGCCATCTGTGGATAAGGATCAATATGCTGAATCTGAAAACGTCACTGTTGAGTGTAACTCTGGTTATGATGTGGTTGGTTCTCAAAGTATCACTTGCTCAGAGGACAGAACCTGGTATCCAGAGGTGCCCAAGTGTGAGTGGGTAAGTGGCACAATTCAAGGAATTCTATGCTGTCAAACCCAACAAATGGTGGCCAGCCCCAAAGCTCTGTCCCAGCCAGCATGTAAAATCTGAGTTTTCAGGATTCATTCCTGAGTTACTTAGAGCAACTTTTTCTTTATCTTGTCTGGAAGAACTCTGATGAGTTGGGGTGGCAAGTTCTCCAGTTCTCACTTGAGGACAGAAAAAACTAGAACTGAGCTCTCAGAGAGCTGGGTTCCACAGTCCTGCGAACATCAACTCCTAACTTGGCTTTCTCTCCACTGTGTAATACTGTTGTTCTACTCCTGGATGGTCAGCAGAAATAGCCTGTTTGCACGGAGGCCTTCTGGGCAGCTGTCTCAGACCAGATCTATGTTCCTGTGAGGCACACTATGGTAGGGCCCGAGTAATTGGTTTTCTCTCCTCAACCACCTGTCTGAGGTTGATCCTGGTCCCGATCCTGTAGTCTTGCCACTGTCAGGATGCATCCTCCTTCGGGACTCAGAGAGAAGCCTCTCAGCGACACTCACCACCTCTCTCTTTTATTCAGGTGTTCCCTGAAGGCTGTGAGCAAGTCCTCGCAGGCAGAAAGCTGATGCAGTGTCTCCCAAACCCAGAGGATGTGAAAATGGCCCTGGAGGTGTACAAGCTGTCTCTGGAGATTGAACGACTGGAAAAAAGTGAGACTTGAAGAGGAAAATCATCAATTAGTGAACTGAACACCACTCCTTTACTCCTCCTCCCACCCCGTACCCCAGAAAACAGAGAATTAATTACATTTCTATTTAGCGACCATAAGGTTCCCTAATTACTACTCTTTGCTGGGGAGGAAAGTACCTGTGTTAAAGACAATTCCTTAATGTCCTTTGTGATACTGATAATGTAGATCTACTGGCAATTATAGCTTAGCTCAGCTTAAGTTTCTGCTTTTTTGCATTTGGCTGAAATAAATATTCACCTGTTAAAAATTAGAGTGTCTTTATTTTCACTGATTTCTGTGAAATGAAAACTTGGGCATTATGCAAATCACTTCAGTTTCTCTTATGAACTTTCTATTTTACAATTTGCAGGGTACCCATGGTCTTCAAAAATGCATACTTGTCTTCACCTGAGGTTTCCTTATCCGACATCTTTGCTTTCCCCTCACCCTGAGCAGTCTCAGGTCAGCTATGATCTCTTCCTCCGTCTTCCTCCACCTCACCCTTTTCCATCACTAGGATTTCTCTGGAGTAGCTTCTCACTTCCACTTTATATCCAAGGTATATTTGGTTTTGCTGGACTTTCCTTTCACCCAATTTTACAAGTCCTTCACAAGCTTAAAATCCAAGTACTCCTCATGGGCTTATCCAATCCAATTTGATCACTCGCGAACATTTCCATTAAAACAGCTTTAGTATCAGTTTGGCAAGTTTTCTCAGAAGTAGACCTTGAGAAGACGATGCATATGCAAGTAACTGAGTAAAGAAGTGCTCCTAGGAGAAACAGGCAAGGGAAAAGAGAAAACGGGGCAGGAAAGAGAAGGAGTCTCGCAAGGCTATCAGGCAAAGTCTTACAGAGGCAGAGCGTAGTGCGGCTTTATCACAAGATGCACTTGGGACTATAAATTATGCCTCAGAGTTTGTTCCAATTCAAGGCAGAGGCGCTGGCCTTCCACTCTGCCATACAGGACAATCTTTGGTGGAGGGCCACTGTGGTGGCATGTAAGCCCCAAGGGTACCCGCATAGGCCGCAAGGGTATCCCACTCACTTGGTACCTGGGCAAAACTGTCTGACAGCCCGAAGAGCATCTCTAAAGAGAGAAGGGTGGTTATTAGAAACAAAACATGAGGTAAGCAGATGGCATGGTGGTTAAGGTGCTGGACTCCCACATGGCCAACCATGGTTCGAGTCCCAGACCTGGGAGCCTGTTTTCTCTCTCCCTTTCTGTCTCTCTCTGGTCAAATCAAAGAATAATGACAAATAAAATTAAATAAATAATTCTTTTAAAAGAAAGAGAAAGAAAGAAAGACAGAAAGATAGAAAGAAAGAGAAAGAAAGAAGGAAAGCAGGCAAGCAAGCAAGCAAACCAAGGCATGAGGAGCCTGCAGAAGGATAACAAAGAAATGGTAAGAGGGACCCCTAGAGGACTGGGCAGAGCTTTTCAGGAGTCATCCATATATATTTCCCTAATATTGCTGGACATTTTTAGGAGCCTTCCATTTCTGACAGTTACCACTTTTTCCAAATTCAGCCTTCTCTGAACGCTAATTTTCACGCACATACCTATCGTGTGTGGCCTCTTGTTCTCCACTGCATCTTGACAGTAATACAAAAGAACGCTTTTTAAAAATGTAGTTATCCTCAAAATAGTCACAGAAAGCAGTGCCATTGCAGATTTTACTAAAGCCATAGAGTGACCAAACAGACTTATGGCTGGCTATGAGACTGCTCCTTCACCTCGAGTACTGCATAACTATAATCTAAAGATCATCGCCTACCTCTGCCACCAGAAATATTTTCTGGCTAGTTTCTTAGCAGGACCCTATCAGCTTCTAGGCTTTTCTGCTTAGATGCTGTCCCTTCTAAATTCTCCCTTGTCACTCTTCACCCATTCCCATTCCTACTTCCCAAGAAAACCATTTCCCAGCAACTTATCTGGGACAGCATCTTAGCTCTCCTTCTTTCCATAGTCTTGGAGCTTTGATATTCCAAAAACCCCATGAATATGCTGAAATAAACAAAGGGCTATCCACTCCGGTTTTGGGCACCAGCTACAGAGAAGAACCAGAGTCTGAAGCATGAGTCTATACGTGCTCCCATGCAGTCTCAGTGCCTGGAGGAATGGACAGCGTGGAGACATTGTCACACTCATATGAATTAAGCCACAACCTTTTCCTTTTATCATTTAAAATGAACTATATATAATTATCATTATGGAAGTCATTTTCTCAATTTTTCTGGAACAGGCTTTTTTAGAAGGTGTCTAAATAAATTGTTGAGCCCTTCTATGTCTTAAATATTTCAATATCTTTTTATTTCTCCCCTCAGAGTTAGCAGATAGATCACTCAGCTGTAGAAGCCTGGGTTTTCTCTGAAGTTTAAAAGGACTTCTTCATTGTGGAGTGTCTCCCAGCGATGCTGCGGAACAACCCTTGACATTCTAAGCCTTGATGCAATGTCGCTGATCTTTTTCTCTCTTTCCGAAAGATTTTAACCTATGATCCATAGGATTTTTTTTTTTTTAATGCATTAACCTAGGTACTTGCTGGGGCTTTGGATTTGGAAAATCATGTGTTTCAGATCGTGGCAATTTCTTGGAATTTACCCACTCGTTATTTTCTGTTTTTATTTTGTGTGGTTTTCCTGGAACTCCTTTTAGTAAAATTTTGAATTTAACCTTTCTTATCTACCCTACTTTCCATCTCTTGTTCCTTGTGTCCTACTTGGAGATTTTCTTGATCTTAAATATTTTATTGACATTCAAAATTTATTCTATCATATTTAAACTTTCAGTAACTTGTCTTGTTCTCTACATGTTTCTTTCAAGTAGTATCCAGTTTTTTCTTCATGGGTACAATGTCGTTTTTCCTGTCTCTGAGAATATTAACTGTAAGGTGTTTTTTGTATTTTAGCATTCCCTGTTCTCTGCTCATAGTAAGGAACGAGACTCTAAATACTGATTGCTATCGCCTTATTTATGAGTGAATTCTTATCTATTGGTGAACTTCCTTGTAGCATAATTAGACAGCGAAAAGATTTAACTACTTGTATATTTTCTTTTCTTTTTATAAAATTTGCCAGAGGGCATGTATGCTCATCAGCGAGAAACTGACAGAGATACAGAGAAAGGGAGAAAGTGCCCCCTGATGGGGCAGGGTCATGGCACAATACCTTCTCTCATTTCTCCACTCGGCTCTTATTTGGGGCACACATGCACACACACAAGACCCATATTTTTCAAGCCATTGGGGCCAGGATTTGAACTGTGTGTTTGAGCTTGAGATCTGGCTGCCTTAACCACCAGGCCACGGAGCTCACCCGCATTGGTTTAATTTTTTTTTCTCTTTCATTTATTTATTTTTACATTTTTCCACAAACATTTACTTTACATAGCAAAAAATTTTAGCTCATACTCCATAATTCTTGACAGTTTACAAACAACTTTCAAAATTTCAAAATACTGAATTTTAAAGATAATGTTCAAGATATGTCTTATAATTTTGTATAATTTTATAACTCTATAACAACAGAAGCAGTATGGTTTCAAATATATATAT